TACATATACATCTATCTGTCTATCTCTCTCTCTCTCTCTCTATATAATATAAATGTAAAAATTAAGGTAAATATAAATAAAAACAACAACAATATATATATATATATATATATATATATATATATCTCAATAAATAAAACAAATACAATATATATATATATATATATATATATATATATAGTCTTTTTAGTGATAGTTTTAATTCCGTTTTACTCTTTAAATTCGGCTGAAAACTGATAAAAGGGTGTTTAATGCCAGATTTCAGCTTGTCACAAAAGTTGTTCAGTGAACTATGCTTTGCAATAACTGTGAAAATTGCATTTTTAGCCAAAACGATACACAGATTTTAAAATATAATAAAATAGTAGAATAAAATATAGTAAAATAAAATTATAATAATACAACAAAATATTACCCAGAGAGATATTCACTGGAGTTTAAAAACATCAACAACAAAATTCTAGTTCCAATATTGTAGAAATAAAGGGCTAACTTTTAGATTTGTATGTTGTTGTTTTGCTGACTATGATGTTTTGCTAGTTGGTGAATCCTTCATGGTCCAGTGAAATGGAAGATGGGTATAAGCTGTCGCAGCAGAACCCAGACATCTATTTGGGAGGAAAACAGGCTCTGAATGAAGACTACACTGTAAAACTTTACTGTAAATTTACAGGTATTTTCTAACAGTATTATACTGTATTTTTATAAAACAGTAACATGCTGTATATTTTACAGAATGTCTGTAAATATAAAGCAGTTTTCTGTTTTCAGCCCGCTAAATTTGTAATACAGTATCATACTGTAAATGCATTGCATTGTGGGATAGATTGCTTTCGCGCTCAATTCAAATGTGATGTGATGTGAACAATGTAGCAGTAGGGGTTCAATCTTCAACTGGCTGGCTCAGTTATTTGACCACTTTAATCGGGATAAACCTCCCTAAAACGTATGTAGCCAAGCCACTAGGAGGTGTTGTTGTACCTTTGATGGTATGCAGGATTTCCCTTTAAATACGCACTTCCGATCAGTAGATGGGTTGCGTTTCAATTGTTTGGCATGCAGGTAGTTGTCTGTTGCTGGAAGAACAATCTCTGTGATTTTTAGATGTCTTAAATTCTCATGTTGGTTATCTTGGGCTGGAGGAGTATCAGACGCTGAACGAGCAGCATAGCATACTGCACGGGAGCATTGACGATCTATGGAAGTATATGGTGATGGTTGTAGCCCTTTAAATGGTGTGTGATCAGCTAAAGTCTCAAAGAGTTGTTTTGGTCCAGCTCAATTGATCACTGTTTTCCCTGCCTTGAAGTTGTATTTTCTTTGTTTCTGTGAATTGTTTTTGTTTCCTTTTACTTTTTGGCCCATGACTATTGGTTATCGTTTGGTCCATTTATTTTACATGCCAACTAGGCTATGACTGGCAGCTTACTCATTGTAACTATATAGGGAGGAAGTATATTCACCATCATTCACATGTGTGCTGTGGGTTTTTTGTATTTCATGCTTTGAGGTGCTATGTATGAGAATTGACGTTAGTTTTTTTGGTTTATTGTATTAATCAATTATTTTGGTTTTAATTTCATTATTTTCTTTGATAGTGATATTATCCTTTGCAGTTATTTGTGTCTCCATCTTGCATGAGTAAAATTAGCCAGCTTGGAAGTGAAACTACTTGATTAATAAAATCGAAACTGCGTCTATAGTAATTCTGTCTTAATGATATTCTTTTATTTGAATAGCTGTGCGGGGAAAACCCCTTATATGACCTGGGATCTCCTACCCAAATAAAATTGGAGTGGCGTAGTCAAGAATATAGGAGTATTTGCTCTCTGTAATACCACACGTATATCATATAAAATGATAGATTCATATGAATATAGCCTATACATAATAATAAAATAATTTATTTTCTTGCAACGGGAGTGGTAGAACGCGTTAATCTTTAAGTTTAACAGTGACTGGCTGGATGAGCGGCCAGCGAAGCGTCAGTAACCCACCAGTCGGGATCACGGCAATTTGACGGCTATAATCGGGATGAATCTTCCTTAAACGCCAATCATATAAAATAATAGATTCACACGAATGCATTAATAATAATAAAACAATGAATTAAATTGTAGTGAGAGTCATATGGAACGCGTTAAACTCGCAGCTCAATAGCAGCTGGCTAGACTGAAGAGTAGGCAACCCACCAGTCGGGATCACGATCATTTGAACACTTAAATCAGGATAAAACCCCCTAAACCGTATATGATCTTAAAGAATAGATTAATGAGAATATATTTATAATAATAATAATAGTAATGCATTTCCTTGCAGCTAGAGTGGTAGAGAACGCGTCAAAATTAGAGCTCAATTGCCACTGGCTGGACTGAGCGGCCAGAGAAGCGTCAGACCCACCAGTCGGGATTACGGCCATTTGTCTCCTTTATTCAGGATAAACCTCCCTTATACGCCTATGATATAAAAGAATACATTCATAAGAATACATTAATAATAATAAAACAATGAATTTCATTGCAGTAAGAGTCGTTAAACTGGCAGCTGGCTGGACGGAAGCGGCAGTAACCCACCAACCGGGATCACGGCCATTAGACTACTAATTAAACCTCATTACATTCAAAAGAACATATTCACAATAATAAAATTATGCATTTCCTTGCAGCAGGAGTGGTGGGGAACGCATAGGCATACTCATAGCTTAAAAAGTCTGACTGGAGGAAACTGTTATAGGAGGACATGAACGCAAATAATATATTAATTGACTCAAAGTTGTTTACAAAAACAATGTAGAAATAACAAAAATAAAATCAGAATGATTTCCTTGGAATGAGAGGCAGCAGAGGCTGGCTGGTTGAGCGTCCAACAAAGCATCAGTAAGCAACCAGCCGTGATCACGTTCATTTGACTGCTTTAGTTGGGGAAAAAAACCTAAAAGGTCAATCATCCAAAAAAACAGAGTCATAAAAATATATTCATAATAAAATAGTGTATTTCCTTGCAGGGAGAGTGATAGGGTAGGCGTTCTACTCGCAGATCTACAGCGGCTGCCTGAAGCTGCCAGCCAGCCACTGGCAGGTCACGTGACCTGCCAGAATCAGACTGGCAGCTGCCACCAGCCACTGGCAGCTGCCAGAATCAGACTGGCAGCTGCCACCAGCCACTGGCAGGTCACATGACCTGTCAGTGGCGGCTCCTGCCAGCCAGTTGAAGATTGAACCCCCTCTCAATCTTTTGCTGAAGATCTGTCCCACTTTACCTGAAAACTCTCTAAATGTATCATTTTTTTAATTAAAGGCTGTTTTGATACATTTACATTTACATGGTATTGCAAAAAGAAAACCACCTACCAAATTATGCAAAGTCTACCAAAAATCTACCAATTTTACCAAAAACTGTCCAGTTTTGCACAGTTGACCCTACTAGGGTGTTGGATAACCTCACAAACAGACTGCTTTCTGGATTCAATTAGCTGTCAAGGCTCCCTCTAGCTATTTTAAAAGTCAGGGCATATTTACCGTAAACCAAAATCGTTTGCTGATTATCTGTCCCATTTTACCTGAAAATAAAAACTGTGTATTAAAAACATTTAATTTACATTAAAGAGCGTTTTGATAAATTTGCATGGTATTGCAAAAAGAGAACGCCTACCAAATTATGCCAATTCTACCAAAACATCTACCAAAAATCTACCAAATCTACCAAAAACTGTCATATTTTGCACAGTAGTGTCGGATAACCTCAAAAACAGACTGCTTATACAATGTATTTTTGGCTATTGCTACAAATATCCCCCAGCGACTTAAGACTGGTGTTGTGGTCCAGGGTCACAAATAAGATTACTGTATTGTGAATTACTTGCTAATTGTTAATTGCATTTTACATGTTTTATATATAAAAAAACAAAAACAACTACAGCTGGCATTTCAGCCAATATGTTCATATAAGGCAATTTTCTGGTCTTTTCTTCAAAAATAAATGTTTTAAAACTCAGATAATGTTGTTTTGTCTTTTCTGTTGTGACTACTGTTATGAAAAAGTATAATATTTTTAATTTTGTAAATTTAAGAGTACGGAATGAAAAGCAGGAATTACAGTATTCCCTGTAAATAACACAGTCTAATACTGTAAAAATAAGTTATATAACAGTATAATACTGTATTTGGTAATTACAGTACAGAACTGTAAATGTTGTTTACAGTAGTAGTCCTGTAAAAATACAGAATGTGGCTGGCAACCCAGCTGCCAGTATTTTACTGTAAATTTACAACGAAAAGTTTTACAGTGTACACAAACTCAGGATTTGACCATGGACACTTGAACCCCAATGGACATCATGCAGGTAAACAGCTAATGAAGTATTTCATTATGCCTTCACTCCTGCTAACATTTTTAGGGATTGAGGTCATAGTTTCAGATAGATCAGATGACATTCAGCATTATTACGTTTATCGCCAAAGTGAGAAGCTAGTACTGTGGACACTTAGGGATAATATAGATTTAAAATGAGGTTTCCTGAAGTAAAAATATCCTTAAATCACCTCAGAAGTGAATGAATTTTTTTCTAATGTTTTTTTCCCCTTTTCACTCTCTTTTAGTTCCAAGTCGTAATGCCACCTTTACCCGGACCAATGTGGTGCCTCAAAACCCAACACTGAATCAGAACGCTTGGAACAAACATGAGTCTAAACTGACCAGCTTGTTCAATGCAAACTGTCATCAGGCTTATGTACTGGTTGGTGCAATTCCTTCCTCTAACAACTGGATCATCAAGAACAGTGTCAAAAGAGTCAACATCCCAGAGTACATCTTGGAACGCTTACTGCTGCGTCAATCAAAATGGCCGCCCCATCCTAAGTGGTGCTGCAACTGCCCTAAACACGGAGCTGAATGTTGTTGTAGAACGCACCTTAGATGAGATGGTCGACTTCCTTCAGCAATTTTCTGATGCACCGGTGAATGAGCTGTTCAGCGGGCAATGCAAATCTTAGGTTAACACATTCACATGAATTTATTCAATCTCTTGAGTATTAGCAAGAGGGCTTAATTCTGTATTTTCAAGTCACATCAACATTATGCACCATTCAGAGTCTTTTAAAATACTATATATGGTTTATTCTCTTGGATAAAAAAGGCAAATACACCAATACAAAATACCATGCCATACTGTTAATTGCAGTGCACACAGTTTTTAGTATTTATGAAAAGTATACTATATGTTGTGCATGTAAAATGCATGCTTTTTACATGCATGTTCTGATTCTGTTTAACCTTAGCCCACTAGCCTATAGCCACCTTTAGTTAATATCAAGTGCTCTGAACATTTTATAACTTTACACTGACATGAATCAATTGCACATCTATGTACTTATAAGAAATGTTAATTTCCATGACATTCCAGGTAAGCATATATCATTTGTATACTTAATATTACCCATTAGCTACATTAAAACTTGCACTGTACATTTTACAAGCTATCTGAGATGTTCCTATGCATACTGGACCATAGGATGGTCATTCCATTCAGGGAGATGAGAGATCTTCTCTTGTGTGCTGGGCTGGATGGGCCAACCCCACGCTTTGAAGAAAGGGCAAAGATTCATGTTGACCACCTTGGAGAAGGTCTCAGCATATAGATTCATCTTGCCTGCATTGCAATTTGGCACTCCATTCATATCATGGTAGGCAGTAAAAACTTTCCTGAAAGCATCCCAGCCAAATTTTTCCTGAAGCTGGAAAAAAATTTGATGTGATGATAGAAGATTAGAAAAAATAGGTATAAATATATTATTTTATATTTACATAATTATATCTTTCATAATAATTATATAAACAAATATTAAATTTTATGCAGTCTGTTCGCACCTGCATGTATGTCTCGAGTGCTGTCCACATACTCCAGCTTTTTAAATCCTTACCGCCACTGCAATACATCTTGGTACGAGCCTGACGGTTTTCTAGAGTCATGGCTGGATGAGCATTTGACCTATTTAAACCCAGCACTTCCTCATGTATGTACACTGACCACAGGTTGCAAGTGCACTCAGTGGTGTGTGGAGGGAACTCCCAAACTCCACGCTGTTGGTTATGACCCAGCTCGTGAATGGATCCCCACATGCCACTTTTATAGGCTCCCTGTACATTTACTAGAGCTGGGGCAGAGGTGGAGTGCATCATGATAGGGTATCCAGCATGCATGAAACCTGCAAGGGGAAAAGGAGGAACAGTGTTATCACCAGGACAGTGTGAGTGTAATTAATATTAATAGCATGATTCTGTTGTAATAGTGATGCTTCTTTATTCTAACAAAGATACTGAGAGTATTTAATAGTACCACCAACCATGAGAGATCTGAACATCTGCAACAAACCGCTCCTTGCGGGGGAACTTGGCAGGCCTTGCTGCCAGGTCAGCTATGCTTCTCATTATGGTGTCCCAAAGTTTAGCCACCTCGTCAGGGCGGTCCAGATTCCTTATATATTCTGATTCTAATGTTATGATGATGTTCTCAAACTCAAGCTCCGCCCAGGGGGCGGGTGCCTGACGGATCCTGTCCACCCAGTCAGTAACACTGGTCTCTCCTAAGGGAGGAAACAAGTTTGTGTTGAAAAATTTTACCAAACAATGTTAAATGTTCTGAATCGAAACCTCACTGTGATGCTAATTCAAAATTCTTACCAGACTTGAAGTATGGAGCCTGTACTGAGACCTGCACGACAATTTCCACCCCATCCACTTTGCTTTGAGGAGGTGCTATTAGATAGATGAGCCCTCCCCATAGATTGCAGACTTGGACCATCTCTGTGCCCAAAGGGAATCGCTCATGGACCACGGGAGCACGTTTCAGAACGTTTGCTCCACCAATATTATCTGTTTGGCAACCAAGCTGCACCTGCATAAAGTGTTATCCCCTCATGTTAATAACATGCTCTCGAAGCCTATGAGCAATAAAGTTGCATCTATCATGACAAGTATACTATATGCAGCAACTATTCCTTGATTGGATACATGTGTAGACTTGATTCATCACCTGCCAGTTTTTCCCAACGATCTCTGGAGGTACTGCTATGTACGTCTTCATACCAGGAGAAAGATATAACCCTGTGCTTATCCATTCTTCACAAGCTGAAACAAGTAATTACATTCTTATTTTATAGTGTTCAAGTATTTTGAAACTTAAACAAGGAATAATATTTAATGGGAAAACTTTCGTACCTCCAGTGCTGGCAGTGATCCGAACTCTTGCATTAGACACAGTTGGCAAGTTAGGTCTGTCCTTAATGATGTATGGAAGAAGGGCATCAGGATCGGGTGACACCTTGTATACCTCAGTCCCAACATGGAGCATCAGGTAGTCTTTGGCACTTTGAACAGGGCAGTTACTACACACTTGTGGAACACCTACCTCCTTCACTATGTCACTAAGAAGACCTACCATTGAAGTATAGGCGGCACTGTCATGAGATCGCATGCGAAGGTAACTGGCACAGTCGTTGCCCAGCTGTTTCAAGCAGCTCTGTTCTTGATTAGTCAATTCTTGCCCAAGGCTTACATGTTCAGCAAACCGATGCAGCATGCTACGAAAGTGGTACCCCTCTTTACAACTATGCTCAATTTCTGGGGCTTTGTATAACCCTCCACCCAAGGTGCTGCCCAAGAGACACAATCCCATCTTATTAAGAATGTGATTTCCTGGATAATCAGTCATCACATTGCAGCCGCAGTGGGTCTGGGCCCAATACCAGGCATGACCCCCAATCATAAGACCACCGCCTTCAGCAACAAATTCTTGGATCTCTGCACATTGGGCATCACTGTATGAAGTGCAAACATAGACGCTTAGATCTTCTTTAAAACCAGTCAACTGGCAATCTAAACCAGATTTGCTCAGTACTGTGTGGGCTGCCTTTAGGTTGGGTAGAATCCCAATAACACCCTTGCGACCCTCATCAAGCCACTTGATAGCGTTGATCAGGAAAGTGGACAGAGATTCCCGTCCCATGAAGCCTTCATGTGATACCAGGATTACGCGACCTTGTCCATAATAGGCACCAGCAATGAATGCTTTTCCAGCTGGAGTGACTGCAATAGGAAATGCTAATGGTCCGTGCACCATCAACTCAGATGCTATAGCCCCACCTTGGACATCAAACTCAGACACACCTTCTAGCAGGAACTGTAGGTCATCTTTAAAGTCCTTGCCTATACTGAAAAGTAACAATTGAAAAGAGCTGATGAAATGTTTGTTTTCTTACAGAATGGGTAAAAAAGTAAGAATGTCTGCTGAACTTACGATACAGCAAGCCAACTAGAAGGGATGTTTCTTGGAACAGGAAAGATGCCAACTTCTCCTTGGTGTTCCGAGAAGTAAATTCCTGCAACACTGCACACTTTGTTTCCTGGGAAGTTCCTTATAGTGTTTTCTTGCGGGTGGGCAGCAGCCCAACTCCAGGCCTGGCCAGCAATGATCAAGCCACCCCCAGCTTTGATGAAAGCTATCAGATCCTTTGCACAGTTCTCAACACTGCAAGCATCTGTGATATATATAGCTAATCCATTCCGAAAGTCTCCTAGCTCTGTCTTGATAGGGCAGTATTTCAAGTTTTCAGCTACTGAACGTAAACTCTTCTGAATCCCTACAATGCCAGCATCACCGGTACATGGCATGAGCCACATAAGGGCATTCTCTATCAGGCCAGGGAAGTGTGTTAGGTATTGCTCATGTCCCAACACCACCACACGTCCCTGACCGTAATGAGATGCAGCCATCAGCACCTGACCTCTTGGATTCATGGCAAGTGGAAAGGCATGTTCACCTATTAGTACAAGATCACTGGGCACTGCTTTCCCTTCAAAATCAAGCTCTTGCAGCCCATACATGATAGTGTAGTAGTCTTGTTCACATGCCATGGTGGATTAGCTCTGTTTAGCAAGTCAGTTCAAAACAATCACTCTCGGTGTACAGTCAGTTTTACAGGGTAAGAGCACTGGGTTTGTTCAACCAGAGCTTGTGAAGTAAATTGATACAGACTGGTGTTCAGTCCTACACAAAGACAAAAAAAGGGAGAAAAAAAATCAAGTTGCATAAATTTATAAACAAAAAAAATTGTGCAACTGTAAAGAGGTTTTTCATGAATTACATTTCTTAACATATTATACAAAAATCTGAAATGATTCAAATCACAATTTCAAAATGTATCCTTTCTCAATTATGACTAGACTACATATGTAAAAATTGTAACTTCATATCGCACAATTGAAACTTGGTGTCTCATAATTTTTTCATACTTTATTCTAAATAGAGCATTCATTATGTACACACTCACCTTCATCTGGAGAAACAAAACTGTTCAGATGACTTTCTCGCTTAGCTATGTGTAACTACTGTGAGAATGTGTTTGTGGATATGACTATAGCTCACCTATTTAAGAGCACACCCAACGAGCACGCCCATAAATACACCTTTTCTATTTTGTTTGTTCGTCCAGAAACCACCATCGACCACTCCCTCTACAGTATTTGACATTTTTAAAGCTGTTTAGATCTCTTATATAATGCATAACTTTTGCCCTGATTAAAGGTCTAGAGGAGTCAATGCCAGCTGTCAATAGTGAGAACCAGTCAGCAGTAGCAGTAGTTTGTGGAATCATAGTATTATTTCACAGACAGCTGCATATTGTGTGATAGACAAAGACTCTTTTAGCTTTAAACTATGCATCTGTCTAGTCAGAGGAACGAATTAGTACAAAATGGCAATGATTTAACTAAAACAATGGAATGAATGAATAAAATGTGGCCATGAAGTTGTGAGAATGTAATCTTGATTCATGGCCACGATATCCATTTTTTTCTTCTGGATGTTATGTGCGGGGCTCCATAGCTTTGAGACAAAAACATATGGCAGTTTAAACTAAACTATACTGCATTATGCAGCGTAAATAAACTATGTTTACCAAGACATAATTATTAGCAGAATGTCCTATCGCATGATAATACTTATGTAAACTGGAGATTTGTCATCTAACAGACATAAACAAAAACTGAATAGACATACAATTATTTTGTCTGTACACTTTGTACTGTCTGTCTGTCTGTCTGTCTGTCTGCCTGCATGTAGTTTTCCGCTGGTAGTGACTTATTAAGATCACAGTTTTACAGTAGTAAATTAATAACTACATTAACTGTGGCATGGCAGAAACCACAGTAACGAATGACGAGGGTGACTTCCAATGACATGAGAACCAAACAATGGATGTCGCTGTTCCACTTCGGAGATATTTACGTGTCGGACCAGAAAAGCGTGTACAACAACTGAACCACAAGAAGTTAATCAATGTAAAGTTTTAAACTGGTAAGCGCTGTTTAGATTTTGTATTTCGTTTTAGTAAAATCATGGTGGTTTGATTGAAATATAATTTTGACGGAGTCTGTAGATACACGCAGACTGCGCAGGTTGTAACTTAGAGATAGTTTGAGCCTATATTATGAGCCCTCCGGTTTCAAAGTCCGACTGAGTTCATTATCTTTATAAAAGAAACACTAAAGGACGTATTAAAACTAAGTTAACGTAGAGAGCTAATGAGTTACGTTACGAGTCAGTTAAGTTATTTGCTTAAATATTCGTAATTAGCTCATATAGCAAATGTACGGAAGCATGGTAACTTAGCATTTAGTCAGGCTATTTGAATCTGAATTGTACTATATTTCTTACTGTAACTTCTCCTCCTGTAGTCCAGTTGTTGTCTTCTGCGAATGGAGATGCAGTGCACACTAGTAAGTGTGAATGGAGCTCGGGTGGAGCTGGAAGATGGTCGAGCTTTAATGTTAGGTCGAGGCCCTGAAACCAGAATCACAGACAAGAAGTGCTCAAGGCATCAGGGTGGGTTTTTAGATCACATCACACCCATCCTAGTAATGCAAACGTTGTACGTGTCGCGTTTGATTCTGTTCATAAAGAATAACGGAAGTGCGTCTCTTCTTGACAGTCAAACTTGTGGCCAACTATGCGAAACAGGAAGTTCTGGTTACGCAGGTAAAACAAAGCAAAACGACAACGTTGTATGTTACAGTTTACTGAGAGAGTCAATTTTATTAACAGCAGTGTTTTGAAAGCATTTTCTAATACTTAAATATACAAAAGCATAATAGAGTACAAACCATCCTATGTTTCCACAGCTGGGGCCCAACCCTTCTTCCCTGGATGGTCAGTGTTTGGGACGTGGCGAGTCTGGATGTTTGACAGCTGGTTGCACACTGCATTTGGTCAATCAGTCCCACCCGTTTACTGTGGAATTTGTTGGGAATTCAAATGAAAAGTCCTCCTCTCCTCAGAAGAAAGGAAAAGCAGCAAATGAAAGCACAGACAGACAGAAAAACTCAAATGATGGGTCAGGCCCCAAAAGGAGCATCCAGGATTATTTTTCTAAATCCCCTAAAAAGGTATCAAGATCTAGAGTCTAGACTAATGGAACTGTTTGGGAAACTATTTAAAATAATTTTACACTAGTGTTCAGAAGTTTGGGGTTAATAATTAATACATTTATTCTGCAAGAATGCATTCAGTTTATTAAAAGCAACAGTAAAGAGATTACCAAAAATGACAAAACATTTCTATTTTAAATAAATGCTGTTCTTCTGAACATTCTATTAATCAGAATAAAACAATAATATGCTGTTTAAGCCACATGATTTAGATTTTTTCCCCCTTTGTTAGGTCACCTTTCCAAATTGAACTTGTAAACACATTTCTTCTACATCAACATTTTTGGCTCCATTTTTATAAGTTAAGTAGAGTTTGATGATAATAGATAAACTTTATGTATTATATTTTTTTTTTTAAATCCTGCATTCCAATTAATATCAATCAAACTGCAGTTGGGTTGTTTTGATTAAATAATAATAACTAAAAAATACAGCTAACTAATACAATAAAACACAATAACAACATGATAACACAATAAAAACATGATTTATGAAAATTAATAAAAACAGAGTGATCTGTTTGTGCAAATAAACTTCATATATATTTTTATTCTCTCTGAATTTTTATAGGTGTCATTGTGTGGGTGTATTACTGCAGTTATTTATTTTTTGTGGAAGTGCTTATAACAATATGATTGAATTTATGCTTTAGGAACACAGTAGTTTTTATATGTGTTTTGAAGAGATCAACACAGCTATGGTTTATGTAGAAGGCAAGAAACATTGGATAGAAACAGTACTGAAGAATAAATAACTTAAACGTTTAGGAGTTTCTAAATATATAAATGTATGAATTGTAAACGTATTAATAGTGGAAAATTAATACTTTTTTAATAAAACCTTTGTTTAACCAATTATTGTCAAACTACTTTTAGTTAATTGAAATAAAACACAATATAAATATTTGGTGAGTTTTACATTAGAAATATTGCCTTGGCAACAAGCTGATATAATCTATGTTTAGGTTGAAGTATAAAAATTACTGAACTAAAACTGAAATTTAAATTAAAGCTTAATAAAAATCTGTATTAAATAATAAAAATGACAAAAGCACATGACAGAATTAATCAAACTTAAATTAACTGAAACCTGAAAATATAAAAATTTAATTCAAAATGTTAATAAATACTACACAATTATATATATATAAAAAATACTAAAATAACACTGCTTGACTCTTAGGCGACAAAACGACCTCACAGCCCAGAGAATGATGTCCCTCCCACGAAACGAGGGTGTGGTGGTGATGATGATGATGATGAAGATGAAGATGATGAGACCTCAGCTGAAGAAAAGCTTAAGCAGTTACAAGCACTTGCACAGAAAGAGTGTGATAAGCTGGACTCACCATCAGTCAAAGCCACTGTTCCATCTTCCACTTGTTCTCAAAGTCACTGGCAACAAATCGGCAGCCTTCTGCTGTTCACTGCAGCAGGGGTTCCAGATAGCTCCAAAGTAAGACATTTCTTACAGGAACTGCATATTTTTAGTATTTTATCAGTAACACCATTATGCTTCTATGATATTTTATGCTTTAATTTCTGATTCAGATTGCAGGGTTCGACATCGACGGCTGCATTATCACTACAAAGTCTGGAAAAGTATTTCCCACAAGTCCAGATGACTGGAGGTGAATCTTGTTGAAGAACTTGCTATACACTGCAGCTATTTGTTGCGTCTCATGTGATTTTTTTTCCCTTTACTTTTGTTTAGGATTCTCTTCCCAGAGATTCAGCCCAGACTGGCCAGTCTTTTGAAGAAAGGATACAAGGTGCTTTTTAATCTGCTATTATTTTATGTTGAACTGAATTTGCAGCATTAATACTTGTATAGCTGTTTTTGCTTTAGTAGCACAAGCACCTTCATTGTATTTGTCTCTTTTTAGGTGGTGTTTTTCACCAATCAGATGGGTATTTCTAGAGGCAAGCTCAGACCGGAGGTGTTTAAGTCAAAGGTTGAGGATATTCTACAGACACTGCAGTTGCCCATCCAGGTGAATGACACGTTGACTATTTTACATGCAGTACTGTTTATACATTTGGGGTTGGTAAGATTTCTAAAATGATTTTGAAGGACGTCTTTTAAGCTCACCAAGGTAGCATTTATTATAATGTAAAATAAGTGTTTTCTGTTTGAATATATTTCAAATTGTAATTTATTTCTGTGATGCAAAGCTGAATTTTTAACTGCCATTACTCCAGTCTTCAGTATCACATGATCCTTCAGAAATCATTCTAATATGCTGCTCAAAAAATTATTAATCAGTGTTGAAAACTGCATAACATTTTTATGGAAACCATGTGGAAACCATGTTTTTCCAGGATTCGTTGGTGAACAGAAAGGGAACAGCATTAAAAAAAAAAAAATAATAATAATATTTTTTTTTTGGGTAACAATATTAATGTCCTTACTGCCTCTTTTGATTCATTTAATGCGTTCTTGCTGAACAAAAGTATTATTTCTTTCCAAAAACTAAATTTTACTGACCCCAAACTTTTAAACGGTGGTGCAATTTTGTGTAGATTAAATTTCTCAAACTTACATCTTTATGAATGTGAATGCATTATTATTATTATTATTTTTTAGGTATTTGCTTCCACAGCCCCTGGTATATACAGGAAGCCTGTTATTGGGATGTGGGAACATCTGTGTGAGAAGGTGAATCACTCTTGTGGTTATTTGTAGGATTTGTATATTAAAGGAATTGCATAATTGAGTTGTATGATTTGTTTTACATTACGTACAGCAAGCAGCAGGTTTGGCTAGAGTGTCCTGTGTATATGAAGGCATTGTTGTGTTTTTGCAGGCGAATGGAGGAGTGACTGTAGATGTGTCACAGAGCTTCTATGTAGGAGGTGAGCTCAGTCAGGTTCTTTCAAGTGGTTGTGATTAGCATTCTTGAGACATTTGAGATTTGACGTAAAATTATTGATGCTAAAAATGATTATTTTGGCAGCTTTTTATAGTTATTATTATTTATTTTTTCAAAGATTCTTAATCTATTGACTAGCACTGAATCTTCAACCAATTTTTTTTAAATTTTTTTTACTTTTTTATATTAATACTAAAAGAATATGTAGTCAAAAACCTTGTTTTAATAACAAATTTACCGCACATGGTGCAAAATGGCCCATAACATGCCAGATTTCTATGCTCAGTCAGGGTTTTCTCTTGTGTACAGATGCAGCAGGACGTCCCGCTAACTGGGCACCAGGAAAAAAGAAGAAAGACTTCTCCTGCAGTGACAGACTGGTAATCAAATTAACTGCAGTCTTCATTGCAAGTTATACAGAATGACTTGCTGTCAGTGAGAGTTAATGATTTTATATTCATTTGTATTTATGTAAATCATGTGCAATACCTTTACTCTGTTTTAACCACAAGGGGGCATGGTAGTGCTTTCTTGCTCCATTTTGGTACAACAAAAAAGAAAAGTTTTACAGGCTTATGACAAAATACATATATTTTTCATCTGCTATTTTTCTTCACTCTCTCTACAGTTTGCCCTCAACATTGGTCTTCAGTTTCACACACCAGAGGAATACTTCTTGGGCTGGAAGCCCGCTCAGTTCAACTTGCCAGAATTGGATCCTGTAAACAATTGGTCTTTTTTTTTCACTTACATGTTTTATACCTTTACACTTCCTTTTAAAAGTTTGACGTCAACGTTTTTATTTATTTATTTTTCTAAAGAAATTAATGCTTTTATTCAGCAAAGATGCATTAAATTGATCACAAGTAACAGTAAAGACATTTCTAATGTTACAAAAATGTATATTTCAAATAAATGTTGTTCTTTTGAACTTTCTATTCAACAGAAAATCCTAAAAAAACGTCATGGTCTCCACAAAATTATTAAGCAGCGCAACTATTTTCAATATTGATTTATTTACAAGAAATATTTCTTGAGCAGCAAATCTGCATATTAGAATGATTTCTGAAGGATCATTTGACACTGAACTGAAAATTCAGTTTTGTCATCGCAGGAGTAAATTACCATTTAAAATATATTAAATTAGAAAAACAGTTATTTTAAAATGTAATAATACTGAACAATATTTCTAGTTTTACTGTTTTTTTTTATTAAATAAATGCAGACTTGGTGAGACTTCTTTCAAAAACATTAAAACAAAAAGTCTTGGCAACCTCAGACTTTTGAACAGTAGTGCACCAAGCATCTGTAATACTTTTTTGTGTGTTTTTATCTCCTTGTCCAGAGGAAATTAGATTCTAAAAGACATCTTTACGATCCTCCAGATGCCTCCCTCACATCCACCAAGCAGGAAGTCATTGTAGCAGTGGGATTTCCTGGATGTAAGCGTTTTTTTCAGTTTTTCTCCTTCCAGGTGACAGCCTTCCAAGTTTTTTTAGTGACATATCCCCTTTTTTTTATTTTGCAGCAGGCAAATCTACGTTCTTCCAGACACACATCATTCCACAGGGCTACGCGTATGTGAACAGGGTACGTTATGTTATCTACCACAACTGAGAACCCAGACACAAGAAGTAGATCTCCAAGAGCTGGATATTAAGTGTATCTGGTTTAGAAGCTTTGGAGGAAAACATCTTAAATGTGTATAATGATTTGTTTTAACTGTCTGTGCACATGAACTCTAGGACATACTTGGCTCCTGGCAGCAGTGCGTTTCAGCCTGTGAACGCGCTCTAAAGGAAGGCCGACGCGTTGCAGTGGACAACACTAACCCTGACCCTGAGTCTAGAAAAAGGTGCCTACCTCTACTTCCAAAATTTTTTTAAATGTATCTTTGTCTTTTTGACTAAAACAGCACCATCAATGATTTTCTCCACAGATATATAGATGTCAGTCAAAGCGCTGGAGTTCCCTGCAGGTGTTTCAACTTCACAGCGAGTCTGGAACAAGCAAAGCACAACAACAGGGTATTTGGGTCTTCACTGCAGTTATTTCACAGTGTGCAATATGTACATTAAATATTAAAGTCTATATAATGTTACACTTTGTTAAACTTCTTGCATGGAAAATCTGTATTCTGAACCAATTTTAACATCAAAATACACAGTTAGGAATTGATCTGATTTGTTTTTTGCTGGTTTTAGTTTCGTGAGATGTTTCCTTCTGCCATCAAGCATGTTCCTGTCAATGACATGGTGATTCACAGCTACAAGTGAGTCGACAGCAGCAAGCTAAGCTTTTTCTATTGAACCAGATATTTTTGCTGGGAAATCACCATCTTTCTTGTTTAACTCACACAAGTCCATTGGTTTCTGACTGTCTTTCTTGTTCTCTGTAGGAAAAAGTTTGTGGCACCCAGTTTGTCTGAGGGCTTCTCTGAAATCCTGCAGATTAATTTTGTGCCGAGTTTCAGTGAAAAAAGATCAGAGTTCCTCTTCAGGCAGTTCTCTGAGGGCTAAGCGTGAAGTTGAGCAAAAAAGATAAAGAAAAAAGGCCTACCGACTAAAATTGACAATTCGTTTAGTCTTTTTACCTTGCAATAAGAGGAAATCAGAAGAATTCTAGAACAATTGACAATACAACACTTATTTAAATGTGTGTTATACTGTCTCATCCACTTAGGTTTACACCTGTCTTTAATTTGTTGCTTTTTAAATGTGTTGTTGGGGAAACTTATTCATAGCTGCTAAAATTGACCTGCTGTTATGAAGACTGACTTATTAAACAGGTTTCATAAATTGAGGAAACAATTGCTTGTTTCAGATTGTGTCAGACTGAATAAATACAATTAACAATGTCAATATTTTCCAGCGTTCTTTGGTTTTCTTGTCTGTAAAATAAGACTTTATAGGTTAAATTTATAGGCTCAGATTTATAGGATCATATTTTGAATGTTGTGCTTGTTTGCTTTATTTCTGGAGTCCCAGCTTAATGCTTTCTTTCTTTGGTGATAGGCACACAAAAAGTGAACTTGAAAAAGTTACGAAGTGTGGCAATTTATAGGTCCTTATCAGTTTTTCCCTATTGCAAAGTTTCTTAAACATTATTGAGTAATTATGACGAGACATCATCAGGCATGAGTTCACATTAAGTGGAATGTGGTGTAATACAGCAGTTCATAAACTGACACAAACGTCTCCTTCATTGTAAGATCAAAATCATTCAATAAATTGTCAATTACATACAAACCTAGCAGGTGCAGGTAATGACAATTTTTGACAATTTGTCTGCAACTTTTACACTAGAAAATGCCAAGATCTGGCATGAAACTCTAGATGGGGCAGGCTGATAAGTATGTTTATTGTTATTGAATGAGGCTGTATCTTGGCAATAATTTTGCATATTGCAGTACAACTATTTGAGCTTTGAACAATGCCCTAAAAGTCACTGTTACATTTTAAAACAATACATAATACAAATAAGGTTAATGTATTCATAACATTTGAAACATATAGCATAAAAGCCTAGTTATTTATGCTGTCCTTTTCAGTATTATGCACTTATGCATATGGTGCACATTGCCCTCATCGTGTTTTCATTGCATAACTTGTGTTATACTACTAACTGTAAAGTTTATTGTGTCTAATAACTTTATGGCTGAAAATCTAGTCATAAAGTAAGTTTGCACTAGTTTAATTTTCTATTTAGACTGATGATTTTCCTTGTACAAGATTATTGCCCCCTCATCTAACGAGACATAACGGAATAGTTGCCATATAATATAATTATAACCTCAGGCAGAAATTGAATGATCATAATGAGATCTAATGACACCATAAAGTCCTCATATACAATGCCATGACTTAACCCAAATGGCCTTTATGATTTTACTAAATGGCAGAGTCAGCAAGTCCATCAAAACATGCAGGGAATTTCCTACAATGCCATAATGTCAATGTCAATTTATTTCTAGAGCACGATTTAAAACAACTTGAAGTTGACCAAAGTGCTTTACATATAGACACATATAAAACAACATTCAAAACAAAACAGAGCAAAACAGTATAAAGAGATTAAGTTAATACATCTATAATACATTAAAAGCCAGAGAAAACAAATGAGTTTTTAACTTTTCCTTAAAATCTGACAATGTTTTAGCAGTTCTGATATACAGTGGAAGACTATTCCACAATTTAGGGGCAATCACGGAAAAAGCCCTATCCCCTCTCATTGTTCGTCTTGCCCTAGGAACAGTCAACAGCCTCTGATCAGATGATCGGAGAGATCTCGATGGGTTGTGTAATATTGGATGATATTAGGCTCAAAATGATTACTTTTATTTTCGTTTGCAAAACTTTATTTTCTTTTGCAAAACTTATTATTATTATTATTATTATTTTGTATATATATGTGGCATTATTTTGACTCCATTTCATTCACGTCTCTTCTGAGTCGATTCTATTTGATTCATTTGAATTTTGAGACTTTCCTTCCGCCCTTTTAGCCTTGCCCAATCCACAACAATCACCTCACACACAGCTCGCGATCCACACGCAGTTGAGCCTAAGAAAATCAGCGACCACTAGATGGCACTAGCCCCAGTCACGTGCGCATTCCATTGATCAATAACACATTTTAATCGCTACATGCACAATTTATGATACTTTAATACAAACTGTAACATTTGTATTCACAAATATGTCTCTATTTGAACAAAATGCTGCACATTAATGTAATTCTTAACTCTGCAGACACCGGTTAAAAAGCATTTGTTTCAGTGTAGTGACGCACATTTGCAAATTTTTCAAATCGTCTACACGTTAATTAATTGCACTGGGCCTTATCATATATTAATGCAGAACAGAACATTTTTATTCGCAAACATGTCTGTATTTGTACAAATCGCTGCACAATCATTTAATCCCGAATTCCACAGAATCAAATTGAAAGGCATTTGTTTGTGGTTAGTAAGATACATGTATAAAATGTATGCAGTACATGGATAATTGTGCATGCATCTATTAATCATTTTGAGTCTAATTTCATCCCATAGCTAATCAGCACATGGTTAGCTAGCACAGTTCTGAACAGGTGTACGCACATAAAAATGTCATTTTATGGAATAACACCCAAAAAAACTGATGTCTATGAAAGAAAAATAATGACAAATGTCTTTGAAACAAAAAAGCATGTTGAATTGCACTAACTGAAACAATAATGCATTGCATTAACAGTGCTTGCATTTTAATTTCTTGTATTTTCAGGGCTTGCATTTTTAGAGGGTGAAATTTAACATAGTTGTTTATTTAAGCTGTAAATATTTTAATTCAAAACATTTCACACACATTTTCATAATAAAAAATTAAATCATTCATATTCACTTCCGAAATATTCTTTAAAAATACAATGTATAATATTCGACAGGCCGTTCTCGCCGAAATCTGAGCTGGTGAAGGGCTGCTGTTCGCGGGGGAACTGTGAACTTCAGACCGTTTTTAAGTTCAAGTTTACTGCTAAATATGCATATAAATACAAATATTTAAGTATTTTAAAAGTGGGGTGACTGACTTAATTACATAATTTGTGGCGATTCATGGGAGAACCTGTTCCATGTGTGGGATTACAAATTTAAGAATCTCTTTTACATCTACTGATCCTGACATACAATCACCTGAAAAAACTAAGGTGAAATACATTTTATTTAACATTTATGGTAAAGATGAGGACATCAGATGAACGATTCTATTAAACAATGTGTGTAGCAAGTGGTTCCAACTTTAATATTTGTTTCACATGGTCAGTGTCAATAATTTGACATAGTAAAGAGCCATTCACACAGAAAGTGTTTTTATGTTTAAAAACGCGAGACACAGGGTGTCACAAATGAACAAAAGAGGATGACACAATGGTTATGCTGGTAACAGTCTTAATTTATAAGCAGTTCGAGACAGCTGAGATTCAAGCAGGTGACTAGGTACTTCATAGAATGACAAGGAACTTAACTGAATGATAAAGAGTCCTTATGTATTTCAGCTACTGGCTAGCATGGCTGAAGAACAGGCTGAAGACTGGGGCTAAAGATAGGTAGGGATGGCTGACGTGAAACTGACCTTTCGACACGGTGTCGAGATCCCGAAGCGCAGATGTTTCGAAACACTGCTCCGAAGTGTGATTCGAAAAACCCATGTCACGTGACTAAGGCGAATCAAAGCACCGGGGCATTTCACAACTGTTTCGAGACCCAAATCTGCTTTTGATCGACAGGGTCGGGAACAAACCACACAATTGCACATCTGTCTTAACCAAAGTATAAAAGTGGAGTTAATGCAGCAGAACAATTAATATATTTAAATAAAAATCTTTATATGTAAAAAATGCCAGGCGTTGTGGCTTGATGTCTTTTATTAATGTTACATTTTTCATGACCAAAATAACATTCACAAAGAGATCATTCTGTTGTCAGAGAGATGTTACAACACATTTCAGGAACAGAACAATAAAAACACAACTTTCAAATATTTATTCTAATTTCATACATGCTTCACTCGGGATTTGAACCTAAAGTGACAGGTTCTGACACAACATATACGTTATAATTAGTCAATTCGCTTACAGCATCGCGCTGTGTAAACATAAAACCATGTCTGCATTTGTGATTGAGAAATTACAAACAACAAGAGCTACTCTACACTGCTCAGTCAAACAAAGTAGTTTCGCTTTCACAATGAAACACACAGTGTCACACACGGGGGGCTTGAGTGAGCGGAGGCCGGCGGGCTATAGTGAGGAACGGCTGGCGGGCTTAAGAACGGCGTGGCCGGTGAATTCGACGAAGGAGCGGCCGGCGGGCTTGCGGCAACCACAAGTCTTAACTTTTATAAAGAATATCTCTTTGGATTTGAGACTTTAGTCTTTGCAACTTTAGGGACCTTATCTATGCACGAACAGCTTGTAACACTCCAAAGAGAAAGGACAATTTGAAATTGCATCATATGACCCCTTTAACTGATTTTTTCGTCAATGCTGCTTCAGAGCAATACTTGAAAATGACCACTAGGTGTCACCGTGGAGACGGGTGTCAAATTGTTTCGAAGCCTCGGCACATTTGCTTCGACTGTTTCAGTGTTTCATGAAGCCTCCCTCTGCCCACCACTAAAGATAGGCTGTACACAGGTGAGTATCCAAGGTGAGTAAATGGGTAAGTCCTTCTGTATGTAATAATGTTGATAAGCAGTTTTAGGCAAACTAGTCCTAATATCACAAAGACCAGACTTGACAATGAATGAGTGTTTGGTGCTTCCTTATATAGAAGCACTGATGAGGTTGATGGCAAACTGGTGTGAGGATTGAGCTCAGTATTAGTGATGTTCGGTTCTTGAACGAATCGTTCTTTTGAGCCGGTTCTCAGGAAGTAACCGGTCGAGCCGGTTCACAAATCGAACTTAATCGAACTTTAGTTTCGGGTTGATGACGCAGGACGCACAGCCGAAGTAGCACGTCCAACTCAAAAAGAACCGAATGAGCCGGTTCAACCAACTGTCAAAAAACTGTCATAAAAAGTTTGCCGAGGACTCAACAAGAACCGAATGAGCCGTGGCGAAGTTTGCCGAGGATTACCTAAGATTCTGACGAGTGAGTTGACGATACTGTGCAAGCCTGAGGCGCGGAAATATGCTTATGACAGTTATTAAGTTACATTTTATTAAAACCTGCAAAAACCTTTATGTCGAGTGATGTAAATACATTTTTACAATAGTTTATTGTGCATGCATATTATATTTAAAGTTGCTAAAGCGAAATCAAGGAGTTTATAAGACAGGTTTATTCATTCTTTATACTGTAGACATGTAGAACATATCCGCGTTTGTGCATCAATGTCTGTAATGTGTGCTGTAGGTGCGAAACTTTTAGGCTAGTCAATATTGCTCAGGTATCTGACATAAAGGATCCGCGAATGAAACTGTGACCACAAACACCACTAACTTAAGTGAATTATAAGGTAATAATCAGCAATTTGCTTTCACACAAATAACTTTCTTTTTTGAATGTTTTAATATGTGTTGACACAAATAAATTATTTGAATTTTTCATTGATACAACATTGCACTGAGTTGCTAGAAAAGAAATGCGTAGAGACGTTATTGCTTGATGACGTCAGGAACCGATGAACCGGCTTTTTGAACCGGTTCAGAACCGGTTCGCGGAAATGAATCGGACTTTGCATCACTACTCAGTATGCAGGTGATGGCCAGGGAGGATTATGGGAAATGTAATGTTCTGTGGTGACTAGGGTTGTCCCCGACAAAGGATTTTTATAGTCGAATCGGAATTTTTGAATCTTGCCAATATTCGACTGATAGTCGAATTATATGTTTTGGGGGCGGGGCAAAATACATTACCAAGAGTCAAGTCAGACATTCGACAGTCATAATTACGTTAACACACAGTGAAAATGTGTAACGGATGCCTCGCAGATACAAACGGGGTAAATAATGTTTTATGTTTTGATTAAAAGATAGTTAACATTAAACCTCAGCGAAACCCGAATTCACAAAATTTTTTACAATATCTCATTATAACGTTATGTATATGACAGTAGTTATTCATGTTCTGCATTTCCCCCTCGGTCCGTTCGCCACGGGGCCCCTTCAAGCACGGGGCCCGGTGCGACCCCACTAGTTGCACCCCCCTAAGGACGGCCCTGATCTGCACAGAATGCCCTGAATGCACATGAACGTGTCTGCGCGGCTCTGAATGAACTCCTTTTGTGGACGCGTTCTTTACGCAACAACGTGCAGAAACACAGCAACTAAACTCTAAAAATTCACAGGGTTTTATTATAATAGTGTTCTCATTATAATAGTTATGTATATGACAGTCCCAGTCATAGTTATTAATATTCTGCATTATTGTTTGTCCTGCTCGCGCTGCACGCTGAAGAGATAATCACCGTAGTACTACAATGAAGCGCTTTACTGCAGCGCAACTCAACCAAATGCATCCTATACGAGATTAATAATATATACATGATATATATAAACCGGCTGAAATGCTTTAAAATCACTTGTAACCTACCTGATCGAAAAAATCCAGTCTTTCACTCTGCCTGTGTCAATTTGAGTCTTGTTAAAGTTTTAAATCTCTGCCGCCAAGATGCTCCTCTGTCGGTCACAGATTATGGAAAGTGAAATTTAAATCTATAGGGGTGGTTGGATTTATTCACGCACGTTAAAATATTTATTTGAAGCTTCTTTCTTTTCAGATTCTTATTTACAGCATTATTTTAATAGGCTGTATATTAACTTATTGGGAGAAAACCAGTAGTTCTATGTGAAATCAGATATTTAAACACCCCCATATAGCCAAAATGGCATGATCATAACACATCACGAATATTCGACTGTGAGATTGGTAGTCGAATCAGGCTCCTCCTAACGAAGCATCGAATCGTAGACTATTCGGGGTCACCCCTAGTGACAGGCATTGTGAATGGAGATTGTGACACAGGGCAGTAAAATTAAAAACTTAAAATTTTGAGATGCGATTTCTTTTCTTTTTTTTTAAGCGTGCGTTTAAAAGACATGACACAGTCAAACATGACTGTCTTGTGAAAGTTTATGTAGAGAAACTATGGAAAAGCAGTGCAATGCAATGCAAAAATGTGTTTGGTGTGAATGGCCCCTAATAGTGCAAAATCTGAAATATTGTACATCATAAAAATAATTTTACATCATAATGTTTACTTGTTTTGAATTTTTTAAAATACTAAAACTTCTTTTATTTCTCAGGAAATAGTTTCTCCTCCTGATTATAATTTGATAAGCCTTTTGATCTAATTATGCACAATCATTACTTTATTTCTTTAATATCTGTGACCTACCAGTTGAGAATCACTGGCTTCATTGAAAATGAAACTGTAAAATGGCAGCACATGAATTGTGCATCATGATCTGAAATGTACCCTAGAAGAACTGGCCATTCTTTTTTCTGCTTATTACAAATGCATAATGAGGTATGCATATATTATGGGATGTGTCCTATAAGAACCAGCCATTATTTTTTTTCTAATTATTAGAAAAATGTGATTTTTATAGGCCCCTGAAGTGCAATAATGTTATATATCGCCAAAAGCTGCATATGTGGTGTGCATATAGTAGCTATAGGAAGCTAACGAGGGCTCTGTAGAGTAGCTATCACTGCTGGCGATAAGTGCATACAATACTCGGCCGTTAGAAGGAGTGAGATGGAGTGTTAAATAGTGAGTGAGTGATATGAAACAGCTGTGTGCAATCAGTGCTGTGTGCAATCAGTGCAATGAATGATGGGATATGTAGTCCGGGGTGATATGCAACAGTGTGTCATGCGAGAGTCAATGAAAATGGAAAGGGTGACCTCTGATGGCTAGCAGACGGAAGTTCATGGACCGGATACGTAACAATTGTACACCTAACTGAATAATTATGAAATTATATTCACTCCAAGGAATCCTACATGACAGACCTTCTTAATAATCTGTGCAAGATTACACATGCTCTAAATATATTCAAAAACTAAGAAATTCTGTTTGAGAATTGATTGTTTTAAGAAACGTTCTAAAGCTGCTGGATGTACATAGTTGTGTTCAAATTAGCATAAGGATTGATTTGACATTCATTTGCGATTATTGGTGCCATATCACTTTGAGCAGAGCGTTTTCTGCGTTTCACTGCACATATGACTACAGCAACAATAAAGCACATGAGCATAGTTACCAAACACAGAGAAATAACAAGAACTGTCAAGTTCATGCCTGGGTTTGATATTCCTGGAGGTTTTGGAGCAGGGAGGATCTTTGAAGCTTGAGCAATGTTGGAGGTTTCAGATTTTGCTTTTTGTTTGTCCTCCGACTGAACTGCAAAGAAGAGTGTGGTGCCATTTTGGATTGTGATATTGAGATTGAATGAATGCTGTTCAACTGATCCAGCCTTCTGAGGTGAGACAGCAGTTGTGTTGACTGAATGACCATTGCTGAAGTTGAATCGAAGCATTTTAAAGTCAAAGCTCCACCTGATCTCATAGGATTTAGCTTAAAGAAAACAACAACATGCAGTGCAAGATAATTAAAGATACATTATTTTATGATGTAGCTTTAAAACAACTTTTATTTTGACAGTGAAGATGTTCAACAAATGAAAAACTTTTTAAATACAGGTCAAGCAATTGTATGCATTACCTGTCCCTTGGTCGAGGTCTTCACCAGGAGCTGTCCAGTTGAGAAGCACCGTGTCCTCCTGTATCTCAGCACTCAGATCTGTGATTCTGTTAGGAGGGAAATTTGGTGGAGCTGTGCCTGAAAGTTTCACCTCAAAACTCTCTCCGGTGTCTGTTCTGGTGATGTTTCCAACCTCAAGTGATTCTTCAGAAACTGGAGGCTTTGGAGGGTTCGGCTTCACTACAATAGAAGTTAGAGGAAACACCTGATTTTTTAAAAATGTTTTCTCCACACAGCTTTATAGCTAATTATATTGTCATTTATACAACAGTTAGTTCCAGTTTGTACATTAATTCAGTGACTCTTTCTGTGGGTTACACCAATAAAGTGTCTTCATGAGTGAGTAACTGAATCATTCACACAAATGTTTTGTTCGAAACAGATTCATTCAGGAGCAAAACTTTATGATTGACAAGCTGCATTCCAGCTGACATCGTCACTATGTAGTGTTTACTGCTCCCTAATCACTGAGCTCAGGATATCTGTTGAAGTCCACTTGACAAAATGTGTTCATTTGGGACACCCTGTAATGCCATTAAACATACCACATGAAGAGTTTGTGGTATGGTGACATACTTTTAAAATGATAAATATTTCATTAATATAATTAGTCATAATATTTATATTATCTAATATGGAAATAAATGTAGTTTGGTTATATATTTCCTTTAACTTATTTGATCGTATTGTAGAACCTCACTTAAGATGGCATATAATATCCTGTCGAGTGATTAATTGAGGAATTAACTATGTATAAGAGCAATATCAATCTTGTCTCAACTTTTTATTATTTATTTATTTTATTTTTTGAAACTTCCATTCTATAAATTGTATATCAACTACCCACATGCAGTTATATGATCATTAAATTAACACAGCAAAACCAATGTAAACAAACATGCAAAATTGAAACAAGTAAAAGTCAGGTACGGCAAATTGCCTGTAATGTATAAACAAATCTAAGTCTAATCTAAGTCTAAGTCTTATCTGTTAAGAATCAAAAGTGCATTCAACACAGTAAGCATCTCAAATAATTTAATAATAATACTGTGAAATCCACTATTTTGTGGAGGGGGATATCTTATGAAAATCTAAATTCATAAGATACTGTCTTAACAAACTTTACTTTTTACATCTTCAATTTTAAGGCCCTGTATGGTTCAGTTCAAGAGATATTGGTATCTAAACATGGCTCCAGGAGTAAATTGTTAAAGTGTACACATTTTCAGTGGTCAAAAACCTATGGTGGATCCTTTTAAAGTGGAATGTCTGAACAACAAATAATGTTGAAACTATGTACCTCATTTCCTTCTGTCAAACAACTGCACTGAACATACCTGTCTGAGTGCCATAAATATTATTGTTCCAAAGTTTGCATGCCTGTAACTCAAGAAGTATTAAAGGGAACCCTGGGTATTAAGACTTGTATTGCTTAATATAATGTAAATGCTTTTTCTTACTGAAATACGTAATAAAAAAACCCATGAAAGATTTACATTATTTTAAAAATCCACATCATTTTATACATATTTTGGACTATGGTGGGCGCCATTATTTCGATGAAGTGAAATGGTTGCACTCTGTGAACTACTGGCATCAATAACAGTGTTGGGAATGCTACTCAATGCTACTTCTGAATCAGGCACTTTTGATCAATGCGCGGAAACTTGCACTTACCCCACAGTCCCTTACTTACGGCTTGCCAAGAGCGAGGCTTAATGCACGTTGCAACAGCTTGTGCGGGGCAGTGCCTATTATATCACGTGAAAAATAATGTTGTTATTTTTTATTATTAAAATAACATTATCAGCTTTGCCCTTTTGGCGGTAATACTGTTTTCAAATTTTTAGGGCAAGTCGTTTTGGAGTTATTGCCGTTTATCGTTGAATGTGTGAGGAAAATCGAACACAAACTTAACCCCGCTGCGAAAGCATGTGTTCAAGTTAACAAACTTGAATGAATCTAGGTGAAGTCCATAAGGGGAATGAATTCCTCTCGCTAAATTCTCGATTACACAATTCCTAGTAGTGAGATGATGGTGCTATTGAGCAACGTGAAAGCTGGTGATAATACTTAAAGACCTTATATATGAGTGCTGTGATAGGTGTCACATCCCTATAGGTAGACGTGGATCAGCTGAGAGTCAGTTGATGCGAGCTTAACTAACGTGACCTGCCAGAACTGACGCTACGCTTGATTTCTTTCATTAATTACTCACCCTCATGTCATTCCAAACCCGTAAAACCTTCGTACATCTTCAGAGTACAAATTAAGATATTTTTGATGGAATCTGAGAGCTCTCTGACCCTCCATAGACAGCAAGGATATTACCACGAAGATGCGGTCAGTAGTGAAGTATTTTTACTCTGCTGTAAAAGTACTTTTCTGTAGTAAAAGTACTAAGTGTCTGTACTTTATCAGTGTTTTTCTTTATAACACTTTTACTTCACAACATTCCAAAGCATAATATTGTACTTTTTACTGCACTACGTTTCATGTTAAATATCATTTAATACTTAATTACATTAGAAATCCGTTTTCGTACGCGTTTGGCCAATCAATGTCTACTTACGTCACGATTAGTACCAGTTGTGCTGGTTAGACCCTGCTCCGGAGTAGGAGCTAATTTGGTTCTCGAAAAAGGCAGTCCATTACTAAAATCGCACCCAGTTCCGGCGGTGCGAAAACGCCAAAAGTGGGTAGTTCCACAATTAGTTCTGGTACTATGAAAAGGCTCCCGCGGTGCGAAAGGCCCTTATGTCATCAGCTACGTGTGTTTTCCTGGTTCCCTTGTGTTGGATTATATTATTAAAATCTCCTTGTTACTGTTCTCCTCGTTCCTCACTCCGCGCTCCAGCACAGTAGCAAACGTGACAAACTGTAATTTTACGAAGGTACGAGAATACTTTTTGTGCTTGCTGTCAATATATCCTTGCTGTCTATGGAGGGTCAGAGAGCTCTCAGATTCCATCAAAAATATCTTAATTTGTGTTCCGAAGATGAACGAATGTCTTATGTGTTTGTAAGGACATGAGGGTGAGTAATTAATGACAGAATTTTCATTTTTGGGTGAACTATCCCTTTAAGCCATACAAGTCTTAATACTCGGGGGTTCCCTTTAAAGACATCTCAATATGATTTTAGATGCTAGTTCTATCACAAAGACTCAGAGAGAAGGTAAACGTTTACATGGCACTTATTCCGTAAAGTGTTAACAGATGGTGGTGAGTTACTGAAATCTAGGGGGTTCGGAAGATGCACTATTTGGATGGGTATGAAACGCAGCAGGCAGTCGGTTAGGACTGAATGAGACGACTCTTAATTGAAGAGGCACCAAGCAATGTCTAGGTTCCTTTTAGTTTACTGAAGAACTTGAAGAACAATCTTGATAACAAAAGGGCCAAAACAGTCCATGCCTGTTGAATAGAAGGCTGGTTTGAAGTACCTCTGTCTGGTGAGAGGCAGGTCGGCCATGAGGGGAACTTCTGGATGACCTCTCCATTTTCTGCACTCCACATACTGCCGCTGGTATAGGCGAATGTCTTCACGGCCTCTTAATATCCAGTATTTCCTTCTTATTTCGGCAAACAAACGTTCCGAGCTAGTGTGGTGCAGTCTCTCATCATAATCCCTGATGATTAGCCTGGTTACCAGATTCTGAGGGTCAAGGACAATTGGATATAAAGCATCCGCTTCCAGCACCTCACAGTGACGCTGTAACGACCTCCTACTCTAATCAGTCCCGTAGCAGAGTCAAGTTCCGGGGAGAGTGAAGCCAATCTGCTTCTGCCTGACACTGGTTTTCCTGACCTCAGGAGACTCAACTCAGCAGGAAAGGACTTAGCTTGGGCTTGACAGAGGATCTTACATTGAACTTCTCTCTGGGTGTCAGCGCATGATGTGTAGGCCGCCCCATGAAGCTCCTGCCGAAGGGAAGCACCTGCCATTGATACACGTCTGGAAGTTGCTCTGGCTTCAAATCCCTCCACAGGAATCGAAGTAATGGCATGTCATCAGGAAGCAGCCTCACCTGGTGAAACATATCTTTGATCTCACTGCTTACAGCTATGGAGTGCTCACGGAAGCGGAGTAACACGGCCAGCAGTGATGGGCTTAAGGTGGGTCCTGGAAGACGTTTTTGACCACTGAAAATATCTGTATATGGAGCCTCATTGAGGTCCCCATATCTCTAAAACGGAATGATACATGGCCTTGAAAATGGACATTCCAAAAGAAAAGTTAATTAAGAACTAGAATATAAAATCATATTGATGTATCTTTAATACTTCTTAAGTTTCAGGCACTCAAACTTTGGAAAAATAATATTTATGGCACTTAGATATGTCCCCTATCGAACGGTCTCTCCCGTTGTGTTTAACACAATATGGGGAACTCCTGTTTACTCTGATACTGAAGCCTGATTTGTTCACGTTTGAACAGCGAGCTGTCTTTCTGAAGATGATTATAGACTCTGCCCACATGCGGTCATGGATTACGCCGGAACGGTCCCTGACTATTCAGTGACTGGCAGCATCTCTCAAACCAGGGACTTCATGTCCCCTCAAGGTTTTTCAGAGGTTGCTTGGCCACCTCCTCTGTGATTCCACAAGGCCAGCTGCACATGTGGCCTCTTCAATATTGGCTACGTTCACACTGTCAGTTTTTGGGATTGACAACCGCATATTCTTTACAGGTGTGAGTCTCGAAATGTCCCGTTCACACAGCAGCTTACAGTTGTGTTTAGAATAATGTCTGTATGAACGTGCAACGGGAGTCAAGCCCGTATTCCTTACTAGTAACCATAGCGACAGTGACCAAAGTAAAATCAAAGATGGCGACGTGCATAAAACTGAAAGTCTTATCACTTTCTGACACGACAAGAGTCCAATCGAGCCGCGAGTTCTTTCGTCAAATCTTCATTAACCGACAGCAAGTTTTTAAAATTTGGGTGGAGAGCGGAGCATTTGAATCGCGCGCAGAACACAAAACTGACGTGAGCGGCTCTGGTGGAAAACTGACTGGATCTAAAACGTTCAGATGACACGCAGCTCATTTCTCCGTCACTGTACGTTACTGAAAACAGACGTGAAAATATGTAACACACGGTAGACGCACGTTTGTGTGGCAGAGCGGCTCTCTCTCGTGCTGTATGATGTGACAGACAACTAGTTGTCCAGTCCGGTTCCGTTCACACAGCACGATTTTTCCGAGAATGCGGTTGTGAGTCCTGAAAATTTACAGGTGTGAGTTCGGTTACAGAATGCGGTTGCCACACCCGTAAATAACCGATCTGCGTGTGAACGTAACCGCATTAAGGACTCAAATACAGGACTGACAGCCGTATTCTGTTGCTGTGTGAACGTGGTCATTGACTCAAAACCCGTGTCCCGTCACATGCTTGGAGCCTGGGCCGGTTTTAAATCAGGGTAAACCATCAGAGCTGTGACCCCCTGGACAACTCCTCACCTGTTTCAACCAGGTGTGTTCATTTGGGCACAGAAAAAACTCCTCTCGTTAAGAGTTTACGCTAAGCGTCAATGGGAGGGACGGTAAATTTTACATCGTTCTCTCTTTTGACTGCCGTTATCAGTCTTTCTAAATTTTTTCCTTTTATTGAACGTCATGAAAACACTATCGTGGAGTTTTTCTTTTGCTATTTTAGCAAATGGGAATGCAAAAAATATATTTGTGGTACTCTCCCATTCACTGCTCTTCAAGACGACTTCCGCTGCTGAGAAACCCGGAAATGTGAAAAAAGGTCCATTGTCTCGGTTTTTGACTCTTTGGTATTCGCTCTCGGTCTTGGTCATTGGACTCGCCAAATGTTCTGATTGGTCCCGACGAAGTCCAGCTATAGCCTATATGCTTTTCTCTCTCTCTCTCTCTCTCTTTCTTTCAAAACAAAACCATTGATGGAGCGCGCTTGTTCAGAAAATGGGTAACAATATTGATTTAATTCACAATCCATCTTGAACGGGCATTGACATTGGTCGCCTGATATGCATGGCTGCGTCATATGCCTGGCTCCATGTGTGCATGCTGCGCAGAGGCATCATCAGTTTCATTTTGGCCACAGACACAATGTCGGCGAGCAGCGGCATAATACAGTTTAGTTTTAAAAACTGTTTGTTGGAGTTTTCCCTCTCTTCTTCTCGTTTCTTCACTTTTAAATAGCTTATAAATGCCCGTGCGCATTTTACTTTCACTTTCAAATTAGTGACAATTCTGCGTCAATTGCTTACCCGTAAAATGAAAAACTCGCTTATATTAAATAGAACTTTTATTAGCAAAACAAATAAAAATTCACCACGCTATAGGCCTAATATATATATATAAACTAAAAATCAGCAAACGCTGTGGAACCAAAAATAAATAAGAAACAGAATGTTTATTAGCAAAATGATTAAGAAAGCTTGGAGGTACAGAATATAAAATTAAATGAATGAATGAATGAATTAATTAATTAATAAATGAATAAATAAATAAATAAATAAATAAATAACACAAAGTTTAAATAAAGTCAAAATAAGGAAACACCCTGGAACCAAATAAATAATATATATATATATATATATATATATACATATAAACTTACAAAATCACCTTAGATAAATGGCAAAAGTCAATATGTATTTTCAAAAAAAAAAAAATATATATGTATATATATAATTTGCCAAACAGGCGCTTTTGTATTTAGTTTCAAAACTAAATCTTCCGCCATCGTCTGGTATGTCTCACCTCATTTTTTTTGTCGGTCAGCTCAACTCACTCTCCTCACTTGATAAATGAAATCTGACTCCTGCTGCTGATCTGTGATGCAACTTGTTGTTCGGCACTATGCATTGATCAGCCACGTTCAGCTTTTAATTGTTTGTTCTCTAACTGAACTAAATGATTTTTATTCCTATAAAAAATCTAAACGATGGTGACAGGCGTTGCCGTGGTGGGCAAATGACGTAACCTGTGTTGAGGCTTTACACCAGTAACACCGTCAACACCGACTATGGCAGAAAGCCTACTAGGGTTTCCTCCTTTGTGATGCTTTGCCAGGCCTTTACTGCAGCTGACTTCAGTTGTTGTTTGTTTGTGGGTCTTTCTGCCTTTAGTTTTGTCTTCAGCAAGTGAAATGCATGCTCAATCTGGTTGAAATCAGGAGATTGACTTGGCAATTGCAGAATATTCTACTTTTTACCTTCAAAAACTACTAGGTTGCTTTTGCTGTATGTTTTGGGTCATTGTCCATTTGTACTATAAAGTGCCGCCCAATAAACTTTGCTCCATTTGACTGAATCTGGGCAGAGAATATTGTATTCACTTCAGAATTCTTCCGGCTGCTTCTGTCCTCTGTCACATCATCACTAAACACCAACAGCCCAGTGCCACTGGAAGCCATGCACACTCATGCCATCACACTGCTCCACCATGTTTCACAGATGATGTTGTGTGCTTTGGATCATGAGCTGTTTCAAGCCTTCTCCATACTTTTTTCTTCCCGTCATTCTGGTACAGGTTGATATATATAGAGTCAGGTCCATATATATTTGTACACAGGAACAATTTGTATTATTTTAGCTGCTGACCAAAACATATTCAAGTTACAGTTATATAATGAGGTATTCTCATCAAAATTGGAGGAAAGGTTAAGGAATTACAGCTCTTTAATATGAATCTTCCCTTCCCTTTTTCAAGGGACCGTAAGTAATTGGACAGTTGACTCAAAAGCCATTTCATGGACAGATGTGGGCTATTCCTTCATTATTTCTGCATCAATTAAGCAGGTAAAAGGTCTGGAGTTGATTCTAAGTGTGCCCTTTGCATTTGGAAAGCCATTTCATGGACAGATGTGGGCTATTCCTTCATTATTTCTGCATCAATTAAGCAGGTAAAAGGTCTGGAGTTGATTCTACGTGTGCCCTTTGCATTTGGAAGCTGTTGCTCTGAACCCACATCATGCAGTCAAAGGAGCTCTCCATGCAAGGCAAGGCATTTAAGACGTGCCAGGCTATATATGCAGCTAATCTGAATAAAAAGCAGAATGAACTGATGAAACATTAAGACAATAAACACAATAAATAAATAAAATTGATAAATGATGCAGTGCTAATTGACATATAATTTATTACAGTACATAAACTGTTTCTATTTGGCGTAATGTTTATACGCAGAAATTGACTTTGACGTTTCAGCAAAAGACTGATAAATTAATGGCATGGCTGGTTCAGTCGACAGAAATACGGGACACACGGGCCTATAATTTACTGCTGAAATGTTTGCGGGGCAAATCTCAGGTCAGTCTGAGCGCTCATGGTACGCACAGTGCGTACAGCCGTACACCTGCAGGCGCCACTGTGTTTATGTGCTTGTGGGTATTACATTTGTGTGTGGTTGTTGCCGCTAAAGTTGGCCATGATTCAGGACATGGTGTTGATAATTTTTAGACCTCTTTCTTATCTAGTCTCTTGCTTTTCGGAGAGGAATGCGGTTGCCGCGATTACTGGGTTACTGTGCTAAAAATACAAAAAA